TTATTCAAAACCAAAAAAAGACTGATCCGAACGGCAGTTAGGGGATGCAACTTTCGACCAGAACGGAATGCAAATGAGCGACAGCGTCACAACGACTTTACCTTGCCCCCCTACATTCACGGTCTCTATGTTCATGAATAGCAGTTTTTGGTCCATCCCGTGACTTGATTCTGATTCTTGAAGGACGATATGGCGCTCACTGCCTGAAACAGATGCAGCGTTTAGGTCAGCTCAGCGGCAACTAGCCTCGCCTATACAGCCTCTCAGATAGCGTTTTATAGCTTATGCGACCGATTGGAAGTCAACCCACACCTCTGATAATTTATATGCCTACCGTTCCACCATGTCATTAGATTCCTTGCTGATCGATTCGTTGAAGGCGAGTGTCCTTTTTGCAAGTACAACGACGCACGTGGAGATCAATGTGACAAGTGTAGCCGGTTGATGAATGCAATCGAATTGCGACACCCTCGATGCAAAATCTGTCTTCAGTCCCCAGTGATTCGTTCCTCAAAACATCTTTTCTTGAGTCTCCCCAAAGTAAGCAACATTTCACTTTGACGCCTCATCTATCCATTATTTGCCTTCAGCTCGAGAAGCCACTCGCCAAGTTCATTGAGCATCGCACAACCGACTCTACCAGCTTATGGTCTGCCAACGCCCGCACGATTTCACTCGGCTGGCTTCGTGATGGGCTGAAATCCAGATGCATCACTCGCGACCTCAAGTGGGGTGTACCAGTTCCTTTGGATGCGTACAAAGACAAGGTAGATGATGTTGCTGGAACATCTTTATCCTAATGGAACACGTTGTTCTTCTGTTTCGCGAATTTTTATCACTTCGCTTGTGTCTATTTGATGTGTATGTTATGTAATCACTCCATGCGATTGTTTCCTGTTTCCCTTGGTTACTGCACGTTTTCCTCTTTTGATGTACTCACCTTCCGGTATAGTCGTCATTGGGTATTGCTTAACTTATAAAACAACTATATGACGACCTTTGGATTGCTCACAATTTTTGAAATGCTTGCTATTGTTCCAGGTATAATATTCTTCACTGTTTCGCTGGTCTTTATTGCATTCCTTTGAGGGCACGGAACCCCCATATGATCCCTCCGGTGTTTATCTTACACTCTGTTGACACTGGATTCCAATCCTCCCTCGTGCATAGCTTTTGGCATCTTTGCAGCATCGTAGCCTGCGTTCAGCTCCTTGCGCCCAAACGGCGACGTTGCATCCGTACAGAACAGTGGTTCTCGACGTTTTTGTGGTTATTAACCCCAAAGCGGAATCACTATATACAATGGCCCCAAAGATACTTTACAATCCAATTGCCTTTTTTCCTTTTATTTACCAAAAATGTATGCCATCTTTAATTAACTTTTATCATTCAAATCAAACACCTATTTTTGAACAATTTCTAGCTAATCATAATGTAATTTCCGTTAATGAGACGACAGACACTGCGTTGTTCTAACAATTTCTGATATCAAAAACCCGGGACCGAAGGCAAACAATTGTTTTCAATGAATTCATCGTCAGACCTTTACAACCCTATGGGTACAAGAGCAATGGGCGTAACAGTGGTTTCGATCAATTCAAATGAAATAAGATCACTTGCCAACCGGGGGCATAAACCAGCAATAAACGTAAACAATAAGCGCAAACTAGGGCAAAGATGTAGTCAAATGATTGCTTCTGGCCTCCGAATCGTCTATTTTATCTGGCCAGGGTAGCTTAAAAGCTTCGATCAGTTTCCTTTGTAAACACAAAAGCGGTTCTTACAACCGAATATTCTGATCGTCTCGGCTGTAGCGAGGGTGCGGAGACGCAGGCCTTTCGATTGGAGTGGCGGAACTTTGTATACTATTCGATAGGCACGCATTGGGTCGACTTCATGCCCACTATCAACCAGATGAGGCATAGCAGAGCTAGTTATAGCCCCGGTACCGCCTCGACGCACTAAGCTTGGAATGTGCTCATTAATGCGCTTTGACAAGTGCCTGTTGCGCCTATTCAAATGCTCGCGTTCTCCTCTCCGCCACAGGTTTTCTACGTTTGGTTCGACGCTCCCGTTGGTTACATGTCTATCACAGCAAACTACACTAAACGATGGCGTTGTTGGTGGCAGCCATCCGGTACGGACGAAAACGATGATGACCCCAACGTTGAACTTTTTCAGTTTATGGCCAAAGACAACGTACCTTTCCACTCGATCATCTTTCCTGCTTGTCTTTTGGGTGCCAACCGCGGATACACAGTTGTGAGGCAGTTATTAGCCACAGGTAGGTGTCATTTTTATGTCTGAAGCACACCTCGAGGCTTACACTGTTTGATGTTTTTGAACGCTGGTGCACTTAGGTTATCTTGGAGCTAGGGTCTCTTCAGGTTACTTTATCGACGCTAATCCATTTCCCGAGAACATTGTGTGATGGGTGTCATGTCAGACTGGACTGATCGATCAAATGAGCGAGCTAAGCAACCAATGGGAGACGGACATGACGGATTCGACCATTGCACACTGATTGGCCGATGTTCGTGTGCGCTACCATGGGCTCCCCATTGTTCCCTTAACTGGGCCAAAGGAAGAACCTCATTGACTGATAAAGGTCATTTTTTATGGAAGTGCACAGACAATTTATACGGAGTACTTCTGTGTGCTAAACATAGGGTTTTCGACAAGTTGACTTTACCAGACAAACGCTTGTTTCTGTGGGGCTGGCTTCTGTGACGCAGGGGATAAATTTATCTTGCCGCGTTACAAAAATGCCGGCATCGGTAAGGATAGTGATGATTCTAAACTTGAGGTTGCCATATTGAGTAAATAAGCGTCGGGAATGAGGGAATGAGTGTTGACCCCGTTATCACTTCGCATCCGATAGGGTGGTCATCCACTGATGCTGCTCATCCTGTAGAGCTGATACACTCTAGTGTCTGATTGGGCTCGAAACATAATACCCATGCTCACATGTTCCCATGCTAGAAGCGCTTCTTCGTGCTGATGATAGGGAATCGCATTAGTTGCGTTCGACTGACTCGGTCAAGTCCAGTTTACATTTGCAGACTTGCTTAGCAATCATTTACATTCGTATTTTTCTGATGAGGTCTATTATGCTCTCTTATGTTGTGCGCATTTCAGCAATGCTTTATGATCCACTTCCCACATATGTTTCGCCCTCTCGCCGGTTCCTACAGAGTATTGCTCATTATCCGGCGGGAGTACCGAATGAACAGTGCCAAAGTCTACCATTGACGGTTACAACACTGGCGCGTCTGTTAAACGGGAACCGCTTACGATGATTTAGTCATGTTCTCCGTAGGCTCTTTTACCGGCTTTCTCGGCGCGCATTATGTACGTTGTCACTGCACCCAGTTGGTCGTAACTTCTAGGTGGCTAGTTGATGGCTTGGTTCAAAAGCTACATGAACTTGTCTGAAGGATTTGGTCTTGATGGATAGGCGCTTCGGGATGACGGTCCACGTCAGGGGTTGGAGACTTTATCGAACATTTTACACTCGACAGCTTAGTCGCGCCTCTCTATTCTTTTTCTTGCATCTAATTGCGTTAATATTCCGTCCCGGTTAATTTTGCTAACTTTTTCCCGATGCTTCGCCACTTCTATTTCCATACTATCTCATTTTTTCACCATTACTTTTTTTCTGTCCTGGGGACGCGAGTTGTGACGATTGGGGATCTACCGCACTTAGCGCCACTGTCTAGTTGTTCCATTGTCACCTTTGCTGTGTTACCTTTTAGCCCCACCATCATACATCCCAACGAGAATGGAATTTCGAACCGGATCCACCATATATTTTAGCCGAGATCGGCTTAAATTATTCGATTATTCAGAGCTGGGAGCATGTGCGCCAGCTAGAATTATCCCACGTCGCTGTCAAGGGTCGGACTTGCTGCCTGTGCAAACGTGCCATGTTGTGTCGGGTCCCACAACTACTTTCACCCACTAACCATAGTGAGCACAGTAGCTGGGCCGCAATCGGAGTATATCTGTCTTAAGAGGCAATTGTGTTTTATAGCAAGCAAAGGATTAAACGGTACAGTACAAATACATGTAATTCACACTTCAGTCATTTTCAAATCTTGACTGGAACTTAAATTATGTAGGTCTGCATTGGATCGCAGATTGAACTCCATTCAAATGCGGTAGGTTTCGATCGATCAACCAGGCTCGATTGACTGATTCCTTTTACACTTTCCCCTTGTGATTGCCTTAGTTACCTGGGGATAGTGTGGCTCTCCCAAATTTGCTATCCAACCTGCCCCACCTGGATCCACATTTCTTCACGATCAAGACGGTTCTGGCCTAGGCAAAGGTTGCAGTGTTGTTCGTACGAGCAACTTGCAAACACATGCGTTTTCGGGACACGTATCTTCAGAAGTGTAAGTCATGATATTTCTTCCGGCATACACATGATTCGGTAGCTCACTGAGCAGACATAACTTCTGAATTCATTCCACTCCTTACAGATTAATGTCGGCACTTGAGGCTCGGTAAACGGCTTCACGGAGCTACATGTCCTTGAGTTTGTGTTCACAGGTGATCACTGTCTGGTTGTAACGGTCCTTCTGGTGCGTTTTAGATTATGGTTTTTGTTGGTCTCATTGACGCCACGTCAACTTTTGTCCATGTCGACCGGGAACACCTTTTCTGACTGCAGCGACACTGCAGTATTTTCTCTTCCCTGGAAATCCTCTGCGGAGTAATGCAGGAACCGCCTGTGTTGCTACACTGAAACCTGGTCCTTTATAGTTTGGGGCTTGCTTTTGAGCTTTGTAAACACATGTCCGATCTTGAGCGCTTTTTGGCAATGAGTATAGTAGGAATCTGCGTTGCAGTGGAAGATAGGTCCTGCTATATCCCAGTGAGCTTGCAATTCATGCGGCTGAACCACCGTCCCCCATGGCTCCGTGGCTTAAGCTGCTGGCTAGTTGACGTCAGCCTCTAGCACAGGCATGGGTTCAATCCCCAGTAGGGGACCGAAGGATGCTAGTCACTGACGAGCCCCAATAGGGCGAATCGCGTTTGGTGCTTTTCGGGATGGAGGTTGTGCTATGTAGCTTGTGAGCTGCTCTGAGGAATAAATTAAAATAGGGCTTTTTGTACGCGCGACCTCGCAGAATGCCGTTCACCACCGTTTCAAAACGCAATCAGACACATCTCGGTTCACCTTTAGTCAGTAAATAGCTGTGACAGAGTTGGGGTTCTTTTCTGTGATCTGAAGCTTCAACTACTTTTAAGTCATGCTTCAAACTGATCAGCCTGACATTCAGATGCAATTTTCTGTGATATCGCCTACCAATAACCTTAAGGATCACAAGGCTGCCTTGTAGTCCTTAGGCCGCGGATTCGAGCCTGCGTAGGTGACCGGACGACCCTCGCAGCATGCTTTGCACACGCGCCACTGGCGGTGGTTGCGCAGTAGGGAAGCGTCGGTTCTACTTACCGGCGTATTGTTGCTACCTCTTGCGATGTCAGCTTAGGTTCCTGTCCCCATTCTACTTGAATGGTCAGCTTTTGTGAAAACAACTCAGTTAACTGCCGCTGTGACTTTTCAAACTCTTATTGCTGCAGAAGGAGGGACTGCATCAGTTTAACTGAAACTGTCATATTTCGTCAAATTCTCCGTCGTCAGCAAATGTTGTGTTGGACCTCGCGACTGCTCCCAGCCACTAACGGTAGTGTGAACACAAGGCGAGCAGCAATCGCCGTAGCTCTTGTCCTCTGAACTTTCATAAAACGCATGACACTTAAGGATAAGGCGCGCTATATCGCAGTTTGATCTCAGTTATGGCGATGCGCTACCGTCGCCTATGGCTCAGCAGGATAAGTCGCTGGGTCACAAGAATAAAGTCGGGTTTAAATCTGGCAGGATTCGGTGGGTGCGCGCTACTGACGAGGCGCCTTCGTCATCGTCATACACGTTAGCTAGAGGTGGGGAACACCTCAGCTACTGTGCCGCAATACACAGAAAAAATGAGAGAAAAAAAGAATGCAACTTGTGCAAGCCGGCTGAGCTACCGGTAACAGATGGGCATCGTTCCGGTAAGCTACCAGCCGGCTACTGTACATCAAAAAAATTACCATGCAAAATTATATAAAGCTAAATAATGAGATCGTGGTTGGAGGGGGGGGTAAGAGGGGTGGGTTGGGACAAAGAAACTCACAGCACTGAGGTCGGCTCCTTGCCATATCGGCAAGTGTGTCCAACCAAACGTGTTCATTTTCTTTCGGACCCCCTACTGACGAGGCCCAATAGGACGAACCGGCTGTCTAGCGTTTTCCTGGATCTGTGGTGGCTGTGTGCTTGAATCTAGTCGCAGTGAATCTTCTCCAAAGCTGACTGAAATGTTTACCTTGAAGTTGCAACCAAAGTTAGGATGTTTCATCTGTGTTCTTACCGGCGACTTCGACCTTCATTAATACCATGGGTTTAGCCAATTCGATGAACTTCCCTTCCAAACTCAAAGGCATCTAGATTTAGTTTTTACTAACAAACCATTGCATGGTAAGGCTGTGTTCCAAGTTATACAGTAAGGCCAACTATGTTGCGCTGACAAAAACACCATCCGGAACTGTTAACTGACGAAATTGCTCGGCAGCTAACATCGAAAAACTCAACTCAACACTGCAACTGAAGACTTGTCAGCTCAATGCAAGCACCTCACAGACTACACAAACTTCTGTTTCGATCTGTGTTGCACCATTGGGATAATCTGCGAAATGACAAGTTTTCATCTCCATTATTTGGGGAACATCTGTAAAGACCTATCCGCACTAAATATAGCTAGTGAACGTTTATTAATGAAGTTCTCCGCAGTGAAATCCCAAGTACTTGGGTACAGATGCCGCATCCCAGAAGGCTCCATTATACTTGCCGGAAACGTGATCGCAACGTCTGATTCAGTTCACTACTTAGAAATTAGGTACTCCAACTCTTTCAATTTCTCCGAACATGTTCTTTATCAGGTTGCGAAAGCAAGGCAGCTATGCGGATATATCACCAGAACTTTCTCCCTACCTGAAATACGGCTTGAATCATTCAAGACAATCGTACGACCGACTCTGGAATATTGTACTATCGTTCACAGCCAATTGAGAAAGAAAGACAGAACGGCTCTGGAAAATGTCCAACGATCATTTACCAAGCTAGTCATTGGGCGCTGCTCAAATCTGACTTATTATGATCGCTGTTGAAAACTCCAACTGTATCCTCTTTGGCTGAGACACAACAACCTCGTTCTCTTCTACCACATCATAAACCAACGA